TTTAGTCGCAGCATTGCTTTAAAGTTTTGAATGAATGCACCAAAATATAGAATATTTACATACCTTTGACATTTCCTTCATATATGCCAGCATTATGGATGCATTTAAGACTGTATTCGTAAGTAACTTCCTATTCATCCATGGAAACAGCTTTTCATATTCCTTATAATAGGCTTTACTGGAGTTGGATTTTACACCTACCAACGTTTGTTTAGATTTTACAACAATCGATTTAATGGACGGTGTATTATCTTTTTCAACGGAAATCGTTTAATTCACAAAGACGATGATTTTTATAAGCAAACGTCAAGTGACATTTCCATGACAATCGTGAAATTACGAACACCCAGCCCACTTAATTAGCATGTATTCGAGTATAACGTCAATATGACTTCATTGTACAGAGTGAGCAACAAAGATTGAAGCGTGCCGCTTCAGCTAAATTGGCAATGTGCCGCTCATAGCATATGCTGATTTGATACAAGATACGAAATACGAATAGACGCACGTCACTGTGACAGCGCAGAACGTCATTTTCGTATACAACTTCATACAAAGAAGGTAGTTTTGATATTAATAGGAACAAGCGGTGATGACGCACGCTTCAATCATTGTTGCTCACACTGTATTACCTATTTTTAAATTATACTGCAGGTATAATAAAAAATACTATAAGATACACGTGTATAATTGGTCTTTAAAGCACTTGCAACGTTAAAGGCACTCCGCTTTGCGTCGTGCCCTTAAACTCGTTGCGCGTGCTTTAAAGACTTGATTATACACTTGTATCTTAATATACTATTTTTAATGATTAAAATAACTACGTTATCTCCGAAACAATTATCTTTATTTCTCAAAAATAAAAGGAAAACTAAATAAATCAACTCGAACTGTCACATTGGGGCTAACAAACATTTCTTAAACTTAAGAATTCCCAGAAATGCATCACAGAAAATAAACAATATAACCTACGCTCGTATTGGGAAACTGTTTTGTGTTAAAACGTAACCAGACCCACCATTAAACAAAGATAAAAAATTTTTAATGAACTTAATTAACCCAAGTCCATTATAAATGTCCCAATTCCAAATAGTATTACATTGTTTTTGATAATGTTCTTCATTTTCGCTAAGGTTTGTAGGGAGTGTTCCATAATTAACGTACAATAGAAGTCCATCCCCCCATCCCCATATCTCAAGAATGAAAAGTCTCTTTTAATAAATTAATTACTATATAATCTGTTTACAACCTAATCCTAAAATATCACAAACAGTATAGTCCCTTAATTTGTTACACTTGTTACCAGGTGGGGTGAAATAACACCCCATAGGCCATTTTTGCAAATTCGGGATTGTTTTATTTATTACCTATAACTACAAGGAAAGCGGCATTACATTTTAATAGCATTATCAATATAATTTAACATAGAAGGTTAAGTTGCTGTATTTTTTGACCCCACCCGGTATTGGGAAAGTTAAGTACAAATTCGTCTTTAAATGTAACTAAATTAGTACTTTAAAGCGCTGCAGATTATGTTTTTTATAGTTGTCTAAAACAACCATAAGCGGCACTCTTTCTGAAGCACTATCAATAAAATCTTCAGTAAAGTACCTTTCATCCTACCTTGTTTTTATGGGAATAATGTAAAGTTAGTATTCTGCATTTCTCATGCATTTTTATTCCTCTTAACAGACAAAATGAAATACTCATTGAAAAATGTATTTGAAGTTACGCAAAACCACATTAAAATCGATCTGAACTTAAACATACGTGTTCTTCTGAATCTTCTGAATTTTATCGGAACAATTAATCTGAATTTATTTGAGACAGAAATTTAGAAAACAAACTTTACAATTGGGTCATCCACCACAGTCCTTAAGTCCCTTAAATGACAATAAATCCAGAACTGATAGCCTTTTCCTTATAGTAACAAATTGCTCAAACTTGCTAAGATAACATTTTTCGGTAAATTTGTTTACCATCGTTTACAGATGAGAAATTTTAATTCTTATCCTTTCGCTAGATCATTGTTAATGCGTTAAGTTAAAAACGTAGGGTTGCGCATGCGCATATCAACTTAAAAATTTACACATGTTTAAATATGGCCGTGCTTGGCCTATAAAGAAGAACACCTGCAGATAGATAACCTCACAGATACCAAATAGCACAAAATCTTCACCTTCCATTTGGAATCATAACTTTGGCTGAAGTCCTTGTCCATATACATTTCGTAACATCAACAGGGATTTTAAAACATTTCAGTGTTGCAGGTATGAGTTTTCACTGTTAACTATTTTTCCTTTTGTTTTCAGGTAAGCAACGGCGATCTGCAAACATTTTCCTATTGGGCGGTAGAGGGTGAGTGTAATCAGTGAACGCAGTAGTTGTGCATAAAATGGGGTGAGGGGGTATGGGAGCGTGCGACATTAGCTAGTTAATGCCATTTTAATACAATGTGCCCCATAACCATATAGAAAAATTTCATAACGTTACAAGCATAAATGAACGGTTCCGTTCAGCTTCTAGGATAATTAACTTTTATGGCAGACAATGTAATCACTCGCTAACTTGAATTCAATTTGCTAGCCGTCCTCCATTCACATATTTCCCTTTCATAACCTCGACCCAACGCTGCGGTGCATGTCGGCACCCTTTGGTAATAAAAAAATTACCGACCTTATTAATTTTAGACATCCGAGTCTTACCCTTCTTCCACGATAAATCGCAATTACGTAAAATTCGTATTTTTGTGCAAGTGAGCCAGCTTGAGGCATTTTAATTACGTAATGAAAAGAAAACACAAAATGAGGTTCCGTGCTATACATAAAGAGGATGTTAAAATAATTACTTTGAGGGTTTATACATGTTTGAATATACCGAAAAGCTTTTTACAAAATTTAGTCATGCTTGTATTTTCTTTTATGCTGTCAAAACATTGACTACTCCTCTTCAAAGACGTAATACTCCAAAGAGACAGATTAAATGACCACACTCGTAAATTTTGTGCTTATTTCAGATTTCGATTATACGAAAATGGATAATTTACGTTCCGGGTTTAATAAAAATTGTATTCATTAACTTTACACTGTAATTGCGTTGAAGAATCTCATTAAAAATTTACAGCCAATCCATAAAAGCAGAGCAGATCCTCGTTGTGCTCAAAATTAGGGTAGTTTCTCCAAAAGAATGCAACAGTTGTTAAGTTTGTTGAAGTAATATTCGTGCTCGCGGGATAATATAGGATTTGGCATTGTGTCTAGTTTTGCACCGGTTTATAACTTTGCAATGGCTGACAATGGTGGATGAATAATGAATTTTGCAGCATAAAGTACCGTCAACATGTGCGGCATGTGGTTTTAAACTTCAAGAACGCTTGTTTTACCCCTTTATCGTAGATATATGATCATGATTTAGAAACGTCTGTTATTTTTTGTTGTCTCCCATGTGTTACCCAACATAGATTAACGTTATAAATACGCTGCAAACACATTCCGCCCACGAATAATTTGTAATTCTCAAAATCTAATTAAGGACTAATTTGTCTACAATTTTGAGGTTGGATTGTATTGCACGCATAATCGTGTTAATAGACAGTTTAACGACTACAATGCAATCGGTTTTCAAAATTATGAATATGCCGCTGAAGCGCATAGAAACATAAGTGTATCAAATTAGCCCTGTCATTCAATTATTTCGATAACAAAGAAATATTCCAACAAATTCAGCAAAATTTTGAACTACAGCTAATCAACTTAGATATTTATTTTGATATTTCAACATAATTGTAATCTCAGATTTTGTACAGCTATCGATTATTTTAAAAGGTGGATTTGACGCACAGACTTAAATGAAAGTCTAAAAAAATACAGCTCGCACATTACAGGTGATGGTGGAGGTAGAAATGGGCCCATTTAGTCCGATTTTCTGTAATTACCAATTACTTAAAATTTTAAAATTTAAGACCGCCAATTTCACCATTCACCTGCTCCTTCGCAAACATTTGGTCCTTCAAGCCGGATTGTCTAAGCACCTAGAAAACGCATTCTATTATGAAGAAAAATATAGAAATTTCATTGTTGTACAATTTTTCCACGTTCGAATGCATTGTGTTTCCTTATCATTGAATCGATTGGGCAATTTTATAGAATAATATTTGCACATACGAGTCTAATTCCGCTACAGAATTTATCTTACTGCGTATCGCAAGCTGCAGTTAAACCATATGTTCACGTTCAAAATAATGGATTGTGAATGTTGTTTAGGTTACGCTACCGGCTACATACATTTTATCGGTCGGTCAAATTGTTCCCTTCTGGAACCCAGGTAAAGGTTGAGGAAGTTACAACCAAACCATTATCTGCAACGAATATTGATTCCCAAATTTGACGGGAATATCCGAGAGTGCCCACATGTTTGTGATTTATTTATCACATTAGTTTATTATTATTATGAGAAACCGTATGGGGATATAGAATAATATCACTTCCTAAAAGGCAGCTTATAGAGAGAACCACTTAATCTAGTCGAAGTATTTCCTATTTGTGCACAATGCGGTGCAACATATAGTACCACACCACAACTATCAGTAGAATTTCTACAGCACCAGCACCATGCTGAGCATCAACCCATAAATACACCCACGGCTAACGAAGCCAGCAGGAAACATAAGAAGTGCACAGCAGACAAACTAACGGCAGCAAGGAAAGAGTTCCAGACAGAGAATTGGGAATAACTCGACCCTGATCAAGGTCTTGGGCATCAACATAGCAAACTTGTGGAACATATGGTAGTTGATACGCGTCACACCTCAATTATCCGTAGAAGCAACACGGCGGGATGTCAGCAAAATCAACACGGCGTTTTCTCCCACGATGTACGAAACAATCATCCCCACTTCTTGTCCCTCGTCAAGTATTTCTCCTTCTGGGATAAAAAGCATCAGTGTGGTCTTTTAAATGGAAGACAAAACACGTTGATTTAGTCAAGGAGTTCAAAATAGTATATTTCATAATGAGTGTCGAAAGTGACTGATATCATGCGAGTGCCGTTAGACAAACGAGGCGAAGCCGAGTTTGGCTAATAAGCATGAGCATGATAGTCACTTTCAACACGAGTCGTGAACACTATTTTTTAGACGACTTGAACAATAAAAGCTTTCACTAGTATCACTAATATTTCAAGAATATGTTACGCCATTTTTTTATTTTACTGTTGGTTGGCCACGACCGCGGTTTGCTATGGATTGTTTACTGTTTTGTTTTGCTAGTTCTGTCATACAGTGCAACGATTATTACTAAAACGAATTTTAAGTGGTGCGTAAAATGGAGAGCGATAAAGAAGACGATGTTTTACAACTCACACCACCATCAGTAGTTGAAGCGGCCAGCGAGAATACTTTGGCGTTGCTCCCAACGAAATCGCGGCTGCGTTACGAAGATGCATACACCAAATTTATGGAATGGCGCAAGAAATCCCAAGTGAAATCCTCATTTTCGGAAAACGTTTTGCTGGCGTATTTTGGCGAATTGTCGAACAAAATTAGCCCCAATACTTTATGGACGCAGTTTTCTATGCTAAGAAGTACACTTATTGTTCATCAGAATGTCAATGTAGGTACTTATCCTAAACTGAAAGCTTTTCTGAAACGAAAGGCGCATGGTTATAAACCAAAAAAGTCGAAGACTTTAACTGGAGAACAAGTAAATAAATTCATAACTGAAGCTCCAGACGACAAATATTTGTTACAAAAAGTAAGTATTTGTGATCAAACTCTCCATTTTAATTAAATTGGCTCTTATTGTAAGGTAATTTTGGCGTTTGGAATTAGCGGCGCTATGAGACGACACGAACTGGTTCAACTTACAGTTGATGATATCAAGGATGCAGGATCAGCACTTATCGTAAAACTACCGATCACAAAAAACCGAAAAGAGCGTGTTTTTACAATAATTGACGAATTTTACGAAATATATCGAAAATACGCAGTTCTTCGGCCACCCACGACGGAACGTCGGCTGTTTTTAAACTATCAGAACTCCAAATGCACAAAACAACCTGTGGGGATCAACAAAATTGGTGGTATACCAAAACTAATTGCAACCTATTTGGGTTTGGAAGATCCTGCTGCATTCACAGGTCACTGCTTGAGACGATCATCGTCTACAATTTTTATGGATGCAGGTGGCAGTATGGAAGATCTTAAACGTCACGGGGGATGGGCTTCTACTTCAGTTGCAGAGGGCTACATACAAGAGTCTATTGGGCATAAAATGAAGGTGGCTGGTAAAATAATTACAGCTATACGAAACTCGTCTGAAAATCTTCCTGGAGATGACTCTTATAATCAAATGTTGCCGCCTAGCTCAACTTTTACATCAGAGACAACTGTGGCTGAGTTTCCAGACTCCAAATTCATCAGTTTCAATAACTGTTCCTTTACTAATGTGTCCTTCAATTTGCATAATGAACCGAAATAAATTTATATGAAATTGATTATTATTTGACAACCCAGTAAGGCTTCCATCAAACTGAATTTCTACCTGACTTTTAAAAACAACCTCACTAACTCTTATCACGCACCGTGCATGATAATTTTCATATCCACATCAGTATGTTCAATTGTTAACTTTCTAAGGTAGGTTACAATATTGATATGTGTCATTTTCGAATCAAGTCGTCTAAAAAAGCAATATTCATTTGACAAATGCTTACCACAATATTTGAATCCGAGAGAAACTGCTGCGCGAGCTGCTGCGTATTCTTTGAGATACATATAATTGTAGCCTTTGCGTCATGTGAATCAATTTCAGACAAGTTTTGTATAGATTTTTCGCACTTGCTATATGTTGCAGTGTTGCAGCATACATACAGGTAGGTCTGAAATTGATTCACAAATCAATGACCAGGAGCACAGATTCGTGACTACAATGATATCTTTGAATCGCAACCTTCCAAGTGTTTAATGCAAAGTTGGGAAATAATAGCTTAAACACATAATACGAAGAGTACCATGTTGCATACACTTTTTCGCTGGGATCAATATGGCTGTGTGCAATGATCTCAGGCCAAAAAGAATCATACACTCTTTAAACCTAACTAGCTCTTCAATTACAACGTTTCCCTGTGCAGATCCTCACCCCGATACAGCAAACTGACTCAATTCTGACCTTAAATTTCTGAATGCTTAAATTCCAATCCGACTGCTCTTATATTTTGAATATTTAAAATTAACTCTGGGTGAGAATTCACACACAAGTTGCGTGAAATTACATACGCACACACAAGATAATAAAAAGAAAACCAACCATCACTGTCCTATTAAAATGGAGACGAGTATTCAGAACAACATTGCAATTAACTACCAAGACTTTAAATTTCTTACAGTTTTCTTTTTCGAGACAAATTATCCGAATAAAGTTGGTACACCCAAATCACTAATTAAATTAGTTGAAACCACCAACACTTGATGAACCGTGACACGCACAAACTGCTTCCTTTCTCCGATGCAATTGCGCTAAAGTTTATCCTTATACTTCGCAAAACGTAGCCCTCACCAACTTGAAATCGCCGTCCGACGCTTCCAATAAATTAATCCGTAAACGCTTTCCTCGAACATAGTACAAACGAAAAACCAAGACGACCTTCAAGCTTGACAAACTAATTCAATTTGATAACAGCTTTTCTTGATAACTTAAAACGTATTCGGCCTCGAACTGGGCAAAATGACTCCTTCTCCTCTTCTAAATAACGCTTTCGAAACTGTATGAGAGGCTTCTATATCCGAACCGTAACTTGTGCTCGAACTTGAACGAAAAAAATAAATAAAACTCCTTCTAATGGCTAACAGGTCGACTTCGATATATAAAATAAACGAAAAACTTAATAAATCACATCGAAACCATTACATTTTCATTAATGAGCACCTTGATAAACAAGCAAAGATTAAGTACAAAAATTCCTTAATCTAACAATTCTAAGGAAACCTTATCATTTATAAAAAAAAACACGCTCTATTTGGAAAATATGTGTTAAAACGTAATTTGACCAAAGACATTAAACAGAAAAAAAAATTATGAAGAACATTCATGAGACAATTAGGCACTCGAAATCATTGCAAATGTCTTAAAAGCGACTGCAACGTCCCACCTGGCAGAAATATTGAAAAAGAAGATGGTGGAGGGATTAATTATATTCAATTCCACGTATAATGAAGGTTATAGTTGTGTACTAATTCATAAGTCACTGAACGAGTGAGCCATGCGAGCGGAGTTCTCCAAGTCTACTGGAACAATCTAAATCAAGCACGTAAATCAGGAGAGGGGGATCACATAGTTTAAACCCTCTCTATGCATGAAAAGGAGAGCCGAAAGTGCAGAACAGAATATGGTTTTCTCACTAGCCAGTGTGTGAGCGAGACAGTTACCATTAACCCTCCGACAATTCTCCAAAGAACTGTCATAGTCAAAAAGAACGATGAAGATGTTGACTTATGAACTGATTCCACACCCCATGACTCTATTCCTCTAAGATGAAATGCGATAATAGAAGAAGAACGACGCAGCTTCCGAACTCAATACCAATGCTGTAGATGACGGTTTCCTGCTACACCGTATGAAATGGAATCCGTCCTCCAACGTTGCTTCGATTTGCCATCAGTACATTACCCACTTACAGAAACATTACGGTCCATTTGGTATGGCTGCCGCACACCCAACTGTTGTAATAGTTGCGGAGGTTGGGTTCACCAAATATCAACGTCTTCTTTATGAAACACATGGAAGGTGAAGCCGGTGACAACCAACGACCCTGTGGCAGAGTTGGACTGGGTCAAGCATAGAGTGACCCAGTGACCCAGTTAGTTTACTGACCCGGTGACCCAGTTGACCCGGTGACCCAGCTTGACCCGGTGACCCAGCTTGACCCAATTTGACCCAGTGACCCATATTGACCCGGTGACCCAGCTTGACCCAGTTTGACCCGGTGACCCAGCTTGACCAGCGACCCAATTTCACCCGGGGACCCAATTCGACCCAGTCACCTAGTTTGATCGAATAACGCAGTTAAGTCAGTGCCCTCGGTTCAAGTGTACAGATTATGAAATAAATGATATGCTGGTTTGTTGAAAATAATACTCGATTGCTTGACAACTGCCATTTCTGTGATGTTTGCTTTAATACTGCCGTAAAAAACTTTCCATGTCCCGAATTGTATTAGAATAATGTTATTTCTTTGTCTCAGGGCTTACCAGTTTGCTTACAGGTGTTCATTCACATTTAATTTTTTTCTACTAGTTAGCTTAATCCAAATAAATCTTTTCTCTAAATACTTTCATTGACTACTTGACTACAAACTATAAACAAANCTTTTTTTCACTACTAGCGTTTGATGACATGATTATTAACCTTTTTTCCACTTGTAAAGTAGGCTTTCTCGGCATTTGTTCAAAGTGGTTAATAATGTGGACATTATTAACTAGTAGTCAACAATGAGAACTGTCACGCTGTCACTTTTAGAAAACACAACCCGAAATTTCGCTCAATAAACATTTAGACAAGTTCTCTAAAATGAAGAATTGCCACCATCTGCCATTTCCAGAGAAATTACATACCTAAAATTATCACGTTTTGAAAAAATTCGAACGAAATTACTGTTTGAAAATATCTCAATGACAGAACAAAATCCGGCCTGTTTGACTTGTACTTCTACACACTTGATTGACATGTTAAATTAATAAACAAAAAATTCTGTCCAAGCGTTCACTTTCTTATCAATATAATATGTTAATTTAGTGGACTTCAAGTGCTAGTAGTGAAAAAAATAGTATATATACCACGGTAGAGAAGTCTATTATTGCCTTCGCACCTTACACCCCTCGGCGCAAGCGCCTCGAGATGTAATCTTGGTGCTCAGGCAATAATACTGGACTTCTCTACCTTGATATATAATGTACTATTACGTACCTAAGGTATAACCAAAATAAACAGATGTGTATTTTATGATCGCAGTTTACAATTTATTAGACGTTTGCTATTTTTTATAGTAACCTATTTACAAATAGGAAAGGTATGAAAGATTAAAATCGTTACCTTAGTTTAGTTTTAAAATGCATATCATCTTACTTAAGGTAGGTAGTCGTTAAGTTGTAATAGCGAGGTATAATGAGATGATGTGAGATGTGCATATTAGAAACTGTTGCTGCTAAAATTGGGATCCCGTACAATACGCAATGAGAATGTAGCTTAAAGGAAGATTTCTATGACAGAAATAACTTTTCACAAAAATCTGCGGCGGCATCTGGGTATCTGGATTGGGAATAATAAGCATTTCTAATGTGCTTTCGCATTGACGTCCGCAATTTCTACTAATCTAATATTTTGAACTTTTTGTCGAATATTAAATTGTCTGCTATTTACCTCCTAACGTTTTTGTAGATCTCGTTTGATTTCCAAATAATGTGAGTTCAGCGACTCGTTATCAGCATTAGAGTATACAGTATAAATTATGCAGTTGGATGGAGTGACCACATCGCGAAAAATACCTTACACGCCCAACTACGTTTCATTTATTATTTTAGTGGTACAGAAAATTCTAGCTTTCTGCAGATGGCTCTAAACAAACTTCAACAAAATGTAGGTAATAACAATGGCTCAAGTTCATTATACAATTCGATGACATACAACCTGTTTGCGACATCTGATAGCAATATTTTAAGTTTCCAACGCTATTAGAACGTTGCATACACCTACATTCTTTACATAAAGCCTTTCACCCTTTCAATACCGAACATAAAAATAAATGGCACTGAGAATGTCGTAAATTGTAGGGTATGGGAGACGATTCGCGAGGAAGCGAAAATAAAATGGCAGTAGGGCCAATGCTTACTGGATATCCCGCCATATTTTGCAATTTAAAAACGTTAAAAAGCAAAACTGTGTATGCTATTGAGATAACCAAAGCATGTGTTCATTGTTTCTTTTTTACGATTAAATGTAACATGCTGTGCACGGCGGGTTTAAAATAGGTAGGAACTCCTAAAATACGTCGGATATGAAGTACCTTCTAAAAAAGTTCTAAAATCAAGAAGCAAATACGTGGGTGGAATATTCCATATATAAAAACGCGTCACGAAGAAACGTGCTTGTGCAAGTTAACCGAAGCGAATCCATAGCGGTTTTTCAGATAAAAGTAGTTACACGCAGGAAGAAGATTATTCTAGTCTATCACGTACGCTTCAATTGCGAATAGATGAGAGAAACCAAGCACGTAGTCCTATTTCGAGCAAATACAATTAAGGAACAAACGTCATAGTTGACAGTAGAAGACAGGTGATGGCTCGAGCAACTTCAGAAATAAACGAACTCCAATAACTTGAATACACGCTTTTCTTTATACAGGCAGGCAAAGTTTAATAATCTCGAAGACTCTTTTAGTTGGTTAAGCTCGGTGTTCGTTTGTAAATTAGAAGACGGAAAATCCC